TCGCAGGAAAACTCTCCTTTTTTGATGTTGCAAAATCAGTTATAATTTCACAATCATGAACGTTTTGACTGTCATTGCCGCGTTAGACAAAGGGAATAAATTCTCTGCATATTTTGACAGCTGCATATAGGTGAAAAAGATGCATTAGCATAGTCAACTGCTGCATACGGGCAAACAAGATGCATTGAATACACAGTCTCTTCATGTACAGTTTGTATATGTACCGGATTTATTTTCAGAAACTGTATTTATTAGGGTACCTATACAGAAAGGAAAGAACTCCTGAAGCTCGCGTTTTCAACTAATCCTGGAATAAAGGATTAATAAAACGCGGAATTAATCCTGGAATAAAGGATTAAATAGCCGCATCAAGAGCCATAAATAGTGTATGCCGGGTAATTATAAGTTTTATGCAACGTTAACAAAATTCGATTTAATTATCAAGGAGACATTACGAGTGATATTTCTACGTTTGCCTTACACTCAGAGAAATGAGGGACATTTAGTCAAAATAACGATGCACTTTTTACCTTGTGTGTGTCATATTTACCCAGATTAGCATGTAAAAAAAGTCGTATCAGGGCACTAATATCTCTTCTTTAATTGCTATTACTGTGGTGTCACTATTTGGAGGTTTATCCTATTAATTTTTATGATTGTAGCGTCATTACCTAATTACTCCTATAGGCTATAGGGCAAAAATTTTTTATCAGAAACCAAAATCCTTACGTGAATTCCAGTGTGTTTAAATAATATTTTAGTTTTCCGTTAAAATTTTTGGGAAATGTGACGGTTGCGAGCTCGTTAGGCGGCGGCTGCTTGATGGCAGGCTGAGTTTGTTCAGTAAACTTGGCGTGCGGCAACTTAGCTTCTCGCGCGCGACTGAAACTTTGCTGCTCACCGCGCCAAACTATTGGCTTAGTAGCAACGAAGCTAACGGCAACCACGTGCCGAAATTCTGATACTAGAAAATTCACGCTCCTAAAATGTATATGTGAGATGGAAGCGGCATGATTAAGGTTTATAAACACTGAGACAAGAAATATTCTTTAAAAACGTGTTCAAAAAGATACATATTTTGTGATTATTGTTTTATGGTTAACGGCTTCAAGTTTTTTTTCGCATGATATTGTTTTTTTACGTGGCTTGAGTGATGTAAGAGTAAACGTGAGTTCGTTAGCAATTGTTTTATGCAGCTCTGAAATTCTAATAGTAACTGCAGGCTTGACGCCCTGAAATTTTTATAATAACTACAGGCATGACGCTCAAATTCTAATAGTAACTGCAGGCATGTCGCTCTGAAATTCTAATGGTAACTTCAGACATGACGCTCTGAAATTCTAATGGTAACTTCAGACATGACGCTCTGAAATTCTTATACTAACTGCAGGCATGTCGCTCTGAAATTCTAATAGTAAGTGCAGGCATGACGCTCTGAAATTCTAATGGTAACTTCAGATATGACGCTCTGAAATTCTAATGGTAACTTCAGACATGACGCTCTGAAATTCTTATAGTAACTGCAGGCATGACGCTCTGAAATTTTTATAGTAACTGCAGGCATGACGCTCTGAAATTTTTATAGTAACTGCAGGCATGACGCTCTGAAATTTTTATAGTAAATGCAGGCATGACGCTCTGAAATTCTTATACTAACTGCAGGCATGACGCTCTGAAACTTTTATATCATTAACAGTTTCAAGTTCACGACCGCTTATTATTGTGGTAATTTGCAAGGCCGGTGGGCATACAATTAGCATAGATGTTTTCTCGATTTTGGCAAGCTTTACTTGAAATTCATGAACTTTTTACCAGCATTTGCTCTGAAGATTTCAAGAACAGTGAAACTCAATGAGTAATTATAATGTTATATTTATTTTTTTTTCTATCTCTAGATTCAAACTAAAAATAAACAAAACAGGCGCATGTGCTGGCTTCTTTTCCAGTCTTTCTGTTGTGTCTTTTATATTTATTTTCTTTTAACGAGACTCTGATGAAGGCTTGGTCGAGACATGTGGCCGATGGGAAGTCCACGTGTGGCTGCTCTTCAGTAAAAGTTTTTTAAAGCATTTATTAAGAGACGTTTGCGTGTCTTCAGAGTTGGCTTCGATTCGATTCAATTAATCATTTTCTGGATTATATTTCACTTGCAAAGTTTTTTTATAGGCGTGTTAATTAGACTGTAAATTTTACTTCTATCGTGTTCTCCGATATCTATGATCTTTTACAAATGATCTGTGATCTATCTATGAACTTTACTGCAAATTTAAAGGAATTAATCAATTTATTTATTAGCTATATTTTAGCGTAAGCTCAACTTCCTCCGTAAAATAGAAGCAGAGATATTTCATATAGAGTAAAAAAATTCTTCGTAGATTTGGTTCATTTCTTTGTACTGTCTAACTTAAGAATGAACTGATAATTACTTTTTGATTTGTTTAGCATTTATAGGCCTCAATTTAATTTACCTCTAGAGTTGTATAGACTTTTTCTTATTCTGAAAATTACTATAAATGACTGTCCTGAAAAACAGAAATGCTTGCATAATTATTTATTACTTCTTTACTCTAAAATTTGAAATTTCAGACAGAACCCTCGATTTAAACACTGTACCTATAAAAATATTATAGGCTGACTTGTCAGTAATTTCCGTGCATCTAAAATAAAGAGCATAAATATTTATCATCGGCTTCCAATCTATACAATATTATTAGCAACTTCGTAGGGCCTCCTCCTCCTGGTGACCTTATAGCGCCAAAATTTTGTTTGCCCATCAAACAGCAATAAGAAGGCACTAGAACTCCTCTCACAGCCTCTCATATGCCACTCCAGCCAAGCAAGATCCATCGATTTTATAGCCTTTGCTGCCACCCTTGTCGCATCCAAAGGACTCCAGCACCTTCATTCTCCCTAAGAACGGCTAAGCCCACGATAATGTAAATTTATTCTTGCTCTGAGAATCATGTTCTTGCAGGATTCAGTGCTGTTGTTACTGAACATGATATACATATTCCTTTGCTCCGTCCTCTGTAGATTCTGAACTGAGCTTTGGCAAGAGTGAAGGTAACGCGTGTGTCTGCGGATTTGTTCATACAATCCTGTGGCTTGCAATAGTGTGCCGAGAAACACTCTGGAGATCTGCATGGTAATGTATAACTAATATATAGTACATCCGTGTTGACCGAGAAACATTCTAAATACCAGTGCACCAAATAATGTTGAAGATTTTCATTAATATTGAAATAAATATTGCATGAATTCATGCAATATTTATAATATTACTCCCATTATTATTGAATTTACAAGTAATTATTAGCAAATTACTAAATTTCAGATAATTAAGAAAAACGTGAATAATGACGGAAGCAACGACTGTTAATCGTTAGACCATTTTCCTATAATTATGAGCATTCCAAATTTGTTTATCTTGTTACCAAATTTAAAATGCCACCAATCTTCTCAAAATTAATTAACTCATGTATAAGTATTTAATTTTCGCTTAAAAACATCCCTTTTTGAAAGCTCAGACATTGAAATCCAAAATATGTATGTAACAGTTAAGCCTAAAGTACATTGGCCGGCTCAGTGTAGTGCAGAGACATTATTGTCCTCTCTCGAAACTTGAGGAAAAACCTCAACAAAACACTTCCATAATAGCGAATGAATATCAGGCCAAGCGTATACTATTTTGTAGGAAGTCTCCTGTATTTATGAAGCCTAAAATGTACAGGCTGTTATGGCACCGTTGCCCTCGAGGGCGAGGAAAGACTGCCTTGTTTTGGTGTCCACCAAAGCGCGATCAATCGTGGGCCTTTTGCCCCAGTCTTTTGATGGGCTGCTAACGTCGCGCTGAGAGGCATCAACCCAATAATATTTGTGGCAGGGTAACAATATTATCAATTATCATTACTGTTCAAATTCTATTATATACTTCAAGAATATTAATGAATATTTCGAGATATGAAAATTTGTTCGTGGTGGGAATGGGTATTGTCAAATATAGACAATAATCATACATTATTTTAATAAATTTTTAATTTTTTATACATTAATATTTAATGCAATCTGGTCGTAATTTTATTTTAGAAATGACCGTTTTTAAATACACTTGAATTTATACGAAAATAATAATGCATAAATTAGTAATATGAAGGTTTCCATAGTTTATCTTTCAATTATGCTTCAATTAATTGAAGCAATCCTTAAGTAAAAATACCAGTTGAAGTAAATGAAGGTCTTTAATGACTCTTTCCTGTCCCTGTGCCTGCCTGCCATCATCAAAAGAAAGAATTTCTCATCGTCGCGTTGTTGCTCCAGTGAGACGTGACCGGCCGCTTGTGGAAGAAACGCGTGTCATTTTATTTTAAATAAAGACTTGCCTTCCTAGGGAATGCTTGTGAAGGAGAGCTTATCAGTGCCATTGATAAACGAAGACATTTACAGGTTAATGTGGAGGACTGCGTATGAAGTATATTTCTTTCTTCGAATGGCAACTTTCATATTTTTGATGGGTTGAATGTTCGAGAGCATTTTTTCTGCATCGGAAATTGAAAAAATGCGAAAGGATTATATTCGTTCATTCCATGTGAATCTTAGAGCTGCAGCTACTTTTCAATGGGTAGTGGTTATGTATAAATATTGTATATACACTCACTCTGTGCTGAGGTAGAACTTTTCCTCATGTTTTTGGTGAAATTTGTCTCGATGCATGGCTCCGATTTCGAAATGCCTTCGCAATATTTTGTTTGTGCCTCGTAAACTAAAGACTCTCCTCGTGGTTCACCGACTTCATGTTGTTTCGAAGATTGGTTGTATTGTAAGCACAACTGCAATCAAGAGCAAATTGTCATTAAAGCTGAAGTAATTTGTAACACTTGTACCGTATGCATCCCGTTTCGCGAAAGAAATTTTAATTGCATCCATTTCTTCAAATAAAATGTGTATTGATTGCCTCGATTCCCGAAACAATTGAACTAATTATATTATCTTAATTGTAACAGAGGCGACGAAGAGCCGCCACAAGGACGGCTACGGCCGACTCTCCACCACAGACGAGGAACTGATCGACCACAAAGACGTGAACGGCAACGCCGTCCTGACCAGAACCTCGGCGCTTGAGCTCTCGTCGCCCTCGTCAGCGTCTGACTACAACAACTTCGTCTCCACCACCGACGACGAGGATGACGACGAGAGCGAATTTGATGACGATGAAGGTGAGTTTTCCTCGGTGATGCTGTGCATAATTTGTTCTAGTGACCTTCAAAGACACGCCCACAATCTTTATAAGGTTTCTTAGGCTCTTCACTTTTTATTATGTATCAGCGGTACCGCTATTATAAGAACCAAATAAAAAGTATTCAGTTCACCTGCAAATTCTAACAAGAATTCCATTCTTTCGTTACACAATAAATTACAATTACTTTCAAGATACATCTTGAAAGTAATTACATCATCTTGAAATATACAGCATCGAACATCTGATACACTACGATATATGAAGAGACTAAGACACCCGAGGTTCGGAGGGAAGGTGGGTAGACTTGGCCGTCTTTGATGATCGATGCTGCAGTGTTTAGCTAGCGGAGTGCTGGGCTCGAAATGAGCGCGTGAAGTGTTTAAACGACGCCCTGAAGACTGCATCACTTGGCCAGCCTGCTGTACGGGATAGATTCTATATAGTCTCACACGTGTGTTATACTTTCGAAGAAGATATAATGTATATCCAGACCAAGGTTGAGGTCATATAATTGCTATTAGTTCAACCATGTATCTGCACACCGCTATTATTATTATTATTATGTATACAGCCCAAACATCATTACGTGTGTAGACCTTTATTTTACTAACAAATAGTGTCAAATCGTTAACCACCATTAACCATCATTTTACCAGCAGTGTGCTAAATGAAATTTGTAAAGTGTTGGACGAGTAAGCAAGAAGTTAAAACCGAAGTTTTTTGCGCACTGGTGTCCATTTGATTTTTGACCCGACGGAAATGATTGATCAAAAATTTTTTACGACGAACTGAATTAAACGGGTTGCCCAAGAATTTCATCTAAAAATATTTTCCAGAATTAAATCTCGTGTGAAACATTCTCATTAGTATGATTTTGATCACTTGTTTAAATTACATGTTCCATTTCAATCTTAAAATCATTTGTGAAATGTAAAATTTTCACCCTACTGAATATCATTTGTGAGTAAGGTGAACATTTATAGAATAATTAGGGTAGAAAATTTCCCTAAACTTATCACGTTTGCATCAAATGATAAATTGCCCTGACGTGCGACGTTTACGTTGCTGATTGAGTTCTTGCTTAACTCTTGACGTTTGCTTTGTAGACGCTGAGGCCCTGACGTGCGACGTGAACGTTGCTGATTGAGCTCTTGCTTAACTCTTGACGTTTGCGTTGTAGACGCTGAGGCCCTGACGTGCGACGTGTGCGAGCGGGCGTTCGCCAGCAGTTGGCAGTTGCAGTCTCACCAGGCGAAGAAGCGTCACTACGGGTGAGCGATGTGACCAGGGTAGCTTGTCGGACCCTGAGGTCTTGATGTGACATTTTCTCATGCTGATCAATCATGTCCTTAGCTTGGAAAATCACATTGATCTGCGATTAAGGTGAATAAATTTCAAACATCAACTTTGTTGCCGAATGCGTTCTTGGAAGTCAAGTGTTTCCTGAATATGAAGAATATACGTTAATTATTAATAAAGCTATATCTAAACAAATAATATAATCTTATGCATTAGTTTTTTTAATTGTACGAAAATCAATGAGAAATCGCTAGATATTTCAAATCTCGGCATCCGGGTCATGGGTTTCCCTCATTATAAATTTTATGACTGCAGCCAAATCTGACAGTAAAGTTTCCAATCCAATTGTAGTTACAAGCAAGCACTTTATTTGTCAGTAAACGAATTTGTTTTAATTTCGTGTTTTTCGTGGTGACAAAGAAATTTCGCTTCGTCTATAGTTTAGAAATAAGAAATGTTCCCTCATTTATATTTTCTTTTCTTTCTCCGTTTTTATAAATCAGTACCGTTGCCATCGATCACTCATTTCCCTCACTTATGTCACTCACTCATTTCCCTCACTCATTTCCCTCACTCATTTTCCTCACACACTTCCCTCACTTATTTCCCTTACTCATTTCCCTCATTCATTTCACTCACTCATTTCTTGTATACATTCCCCTCACTCATTTCACTCACTAATTTCACTCACTAATTTCACTCGCTCATTTCCCTCACTCATCTCCCTCATTCATTTCACTCACTAATTTCTTGCATACATTCCCCTCACTCATTTCCCTCGCTCATTTCCCTCACTCATTTCCCTCGCTCATTTTCCTCGCTCATTTCCCTTGCTCATTTCCCTCACTCATTTCCCTCGCTCATTTCCCTCGCTCATTTCCCTCGCTCATTTACCTCGCTCATTTCCCTCACTCATTTCCCTCACTCCCGTCGCACATTCCCCTCGCTCATTTCCCTCACTTATTTCCCTCACTTATTTCCATCACTCATTTCCCTCACTCATTTCCCTCACTTATTTCCCTCACTCATTCCCCTCACTCATTTCCCTCACTCATTGCCCTCATTCATTCCCCTCACTCATTCCCCTCACTCATCCCCCTCACTCATTCCCCTCACTCATTCCCCTCACTCATTTATTTCCCTCACTCATTTCCCTCACTCATTTCCCTCACTCATTTCCCTCACTCATTTCCCTCACTCATTTCCCTCACTCATTTCCTTCGCTCATTTCCCTCACTCATTTCCCTCGCTCATTTCCCTCACTCCGCGCAGATGCTCGACCTGCGAAAGCGTCTTCCGCTCGCTGTCTGCCCTGGAGACGCACAAGGAGGAGAACCATCACTGGTCCGACGAGGACCTCTTCTTGGACCACGACGACGATGAAGATGAAGATGACGAGTACGAGACCGGATTTTACGATGATGACGAGGATGATGAAGAAGAAAAAGAGAATCTATTATAAAATTGTCTGGTTTAAAAATATATAGTTTTCGGTCGAACCGGTCGAACCATCACTGGTTCATGATAATGAAGATGATGATGGCGAGTACGATACCGGATTTTACGATGATGACGAGGATGACGAAGAAGAAAAAGAGAATCTATTATAAAATTGTCTAGTTTAAAAACATATAGTTTTCGGTCGAACCATCACTGGTCTGACGAAGACCTCTTCCTTGACCACGACGATGATAATGAAGATGATGATGGCGAGTACGAGACCGGATTTTATGACGATGGCGAGGATGATGAAGAAGAAAAAGAGAATCTATTATAAAATTGTCTAGTTTAAAAATATATAGTTCGATCGAACCGGTCGAACCATCACTGGTCTGACGAAGACTTCGTCCTTGACCACGACAATGATAATGGAGATGATGATGGCGAGTACGAGACCGAATTTCATAATGATAACGAGGACGATGAGGGAGAAAAAGAAAATCTGTTATAAAAATGTCTGGTATGAAAAGACGTACATTATAGTAACATGATTGTCAGAGAACTAAATAGCTGAACCTTACGCTTTTAGATTAATGTAAAACATACGTGTATATATTGGTGAGTTTTAATCTAATTCGCCATAATAGAGGTTATAATCACTCGCAGGTTATGATAATAATTTATTTATATGTTGATAATTCATTGTTAAGACAGAAGTGATGAGGGCACTTCCGGCGAGTTGAAATCAGCGCTGCAAGTAAATGTCACTATTAGTTACAGTGAAGTCAGAGTCTCTATCCAAAATGCACGTAATGAAGAAATATTCTATAAGTTCTCGTTGCAGACTGAAAAATGTTAGAAATCTCACCGAAATAATAATATTGCTTGAGTGTTTAAAGTGAATAACCAAGCACTTTACTGATTGTTCTATGACACCACGTGAACATTTAAACATAACTAAATGCTCTAACACTTGAAGCTGGCGACATTAAACTTGTTTTGTGTGTGTTATGTCCCAGAAGTCAGGAACGCTTCCATCGTCAAGGATAATCCTGAGCTTGCGTGGTCCCAATGTCGATCATTTCCCTCATGCTTAGTGATGCGTTGAGTATTATTTAAGAGCTATTCAATATTAACATTGCTATACTTATGGAAGTCCTCGAAGTCTATCGAATTAATGCAGAGTTATTGAAAAAACTCAATTACTGAAGAAAAGTGTGTTGATGCGGTGCGTGAATAGTTGACATCTTGCATTATTCATAAATAATTTTTGCAATTTTCACTATAGATACCTACAAATCAGTTCAGGTTCACGATAATAAGTCCAACAACTTCCGTTATAAGAAGAGTCTGTTGTACTTTGTTAGAAGGTTGGAAACACGTTCCTCATACGATAGAAACGCGATTGTGTGCAGCAAAATTGGGAGTGTTTTTTAGGCTCCCGCGTCCATAAATTATCAAACCATAAATTATTAAACGATGGCATGAGTCTGACGTTGAAAGTCTTCTTGATAGAGCTGCTTCGAAACGTATGCATGTGTAAAATCCAATTTCATTTGAGTGTGTTTTTTGGGCATGTAATCAAAAATTACGTTTTGAAGTAATCTGTTTTCTATAATATAAGTTCATTCTTTTTCAGCCCAAATTTATCCTTACTTTGTGTATCTCAACGTTATTTTCTGCATTTAATATAATTGTATATACCTGAAGGCACATCACAAGAGACAATTAATACGCATAAGATATGAAAACATATCATCGAACTGAAAATAGAAGTTTGGCCAGACCATGGTTTAACTATACAAGGTTGACCCACGAGGATTTCCGTCTTTCAGTTCAGCTTTCTTGTTACGTCACTGAGATCGAGAAACTTGAACAATCCCGTCATTCCTATGACGGATTGGTTGACTGGTTTGATCGCATTTCGGTGAATGGTTAATGCCTGTGACGTCATTGACTGAGATCAGTGACGTCACATGCGAACAACGAACTACATCCGCAAAAATGAGCTTCCCATGGGTCAACCTTATACTAGTTCAACCATGGGCCTGATCTTTGCCAGAATTATATATGCTTTAAGCGATCGTTAGACTTTCTGATATAGAGCAACTTGACTACCATACAGTCTAGAAGCTATATCCGATACTGTCTCGGAATAATTGTACTGCTACACTATTTAATGTGTCGACAGTCGTTGAGCAAATTTCTTTGTCATGATAAGCAGAAGAATTGTTACTTTATAATTTTGTAAATAGGTCGAAGAGAAATATATTACTGGTGGATATACGAAAATTTTCAGAAATATTATTTCATCGTGTCTGAACCGTTAAAATGAGCATTATTTCCTTCAGTAAAGAGAGGCAAGTTATCAAAAAATGTGTTAGGACGCTCCTTAAAAATGTACCTACATACTGACGAGAAAAACTGGGCTGTGGGCTCAAATAAATTGATGAAAGTTGGCATTCGTTTGATTCATTCACCTTTTCATCGTACAGGACATTACAAATTTGGTTTCAATTTATGGTTAAACTACTATAAGGATGACCCTTTAGATGCTCATTGTTGCGGAAGTAGTTTGTTGTGTGTCTGTGATGTCACTGATCTTAGTGACGTCACGGGCATTAACCATTCACTGTAATGCGATCAAACCAGTCAACCAATCCGTCATGGGAATGACGGGATTTTTTTTCGTTTCTCGATTTCAGTGACGTAACAAGAAAGCTGAACTGAAAGGCGGAATTCATCGTGGGTGACCTGGTCAACCTTATATAATTCAACCATGACGTCAATCGTTCTAATCATGAAAAAAAAATAGAAAAATTACGGACAGGTCTGTCGTCCGTCATATCTTTGGGAAAACTTGGAATCCGCAAACCGAGTTTTTTCAACCAATCAGCGTTCGTTTCTCTGTCGCGCTCTGAAATGAAAATATAAACAAAGCTCTACCGTAGTCATGATCAACTTGAAAATTCCTATTAGATCATTTAGATGGAGGTGATATGACTTCCAATAAAGAATTTGGACGCGCCATTGAGGTATGCTTCTTTATCTATTGATAAATAAAATTGAATCGTGTGTAAAATATACGTTTTGTACATATATTTTGCTTTACTTGTTAATGGCAATTTAGTTTCAAACCTAGGCCTATTTGTAAAATTAGGCAGAACTTGCAGAAGCTAGAAGGTCTGCGAAAATATTATTTTTAAAAATCATGTGTGATTGTGTGAGAATAGGCTGGTTTTTCTTTTTTTAATGAAGAAATTGGTAAAAAGGCATAGCCACATAGGAAAAGGCTATAAAAGGCTATACTATAGTGGGAAATTAGGTAAAAACATCCCTTGAATTGGATAAAAATGCCTGTGAATCTGCCTAATTTTGCCTCAAATTACCTGTTCCTATTGTCTTTTTCTTATTTCTTTTGTGAAAAATTTTGAAAATGGCCTAATTCTACTGGCAATTTTTGAAAATTACCTGTAAAACAATTAGGCTATAAGAAAGTTTAAGCCATTCTAAACTTTTTTTTTCTAAATAGAGAACCAGTTGAAATTGGCCAAATTTACTGGTGTTTATGTCTGATTTAGATGCAGCTTTGGCACAATTTTCCACTCTGGCAGTTTAGCTTGGCAGGATTAGAAATTTTATACATATTAGCTACAGAAATGTTGTGGCCCTAAAATGACAAATTTTAAATGCATTTGGAATCTTGTGGCTCAATGGTACACTTCTATTAACATTTAACAATTAATAATTTTTGATAAAATTCCATTCTAAATCAGAATGGAATTTTAAAAATTTAGGTTCTTAGGGTAAACGCGGTATATTCCGACATTGTGGGTAATTCAGACACCTCTCTAGTTTTTCCTTTATATTAAGCTTTGTTTTAGTTCCATGCGTTTGTTGATGGTTGAAATGGTGACGTCATACATTTGCGCATCAAACTACTGCCGAAACACTAGGTCTAGGCCATCTAGCCGGAAAATGTTGAGATCCAAAGAGAGACGGTGCATGCCACCCAATGAGATTATCGAAAAATGTGTCAAAGTTGACAGTTGACCTTGCTCTACCAAATAGTGATAAACTGTTTGTGAGAAAGAATATTATGGTTTGAGACCATGGTGGCAATCCATAGGTTATTCAAAAGAACCTGTTCTTATGTCATTTTGAACCGATCAACGCTTCTTNTACCATAGAGACCTATATAACATATTTTATGTTTGATACACCTATTAATGTTTTTTCTTTATGTTTCAGACTCTACAGAGTCTTATATATGGTAATTTTAACTTAATTTCCAAACCGTGTTTCAGACTCTACAGAGTCTTATATATGGTAATTTTAACTTAATTTCCAAACCGGTCAATGTTACCCCGTCACGGCTGCCATTATATGGTCACATTTCGCCCATTTGGGGGCAGTGCCCCCCATTTGCAAACAATGACACTTTCCTAAAATTTGTCTTTTTCATATGTAACAAGAAGAGTTCTACTACAATGCACCACAACCTGGAGTTATTTGGAGTTATTTTACCAAAAAATAAAATTGATTTTACCACCCGGTCAAAGAAACCCCAAGAGCTGGGGTAACAAAGACCATCACTTTTTTTTTTAAATTACATCAAAACTATGAGAGGCAGGAGCCAGCAATTTATGGTGAGTATAGCTAGAGTATAGACCTGTATTTTGCATTTTTCAATTTAAGTTTAACTTATCTAGTAAAAAAATGGCATCATTTTGAAAAAAAAAATGTGGTCAAAGTTACCCCATTTTACGGTATTAGGAATCTTTTAAGTATACTTGTATTTGCTGATTTCAAGTGTTAAATAAATTAATAGATGATTAAGTTGATAAACGCATTTAGACACATAAAAACTAATTCTGACACAACTTGAATTGGACACACACAGCTCGTGCCAAGCTGTGTGCAAAATTTAAAATTTTCTTAATTAAAAGCTTAATAACTGTTAAATAAAAGCCTAATTAAGTACTTAGTGCTCAATATTCAATAGTGTTCTAATTCGAAGCTGTGTTGTATTCCAATACAGCTCACGCAGCGATCGGAATTCGAACACGTGGATGTCTGAATTACATATTAGTACAATTTGAAGTGCGGTCATACTACGTCTCACCATGTGCCAAATATAGTCACACACAGTGTCGGAATATAGGGATTTGGTAGGTTTGCATTCTATAGGCTTTTAAATAAATATGACAACATTTTGTGACGTTTCATCATTGCTGGCGCGTAGTACGGTATTGAATTAAGTCTGCTAAATATAATGCAGTCTGACATGGCCACAGCTACACAGTGGTGGGCACAGTTCCGCTAATCCGCTAACCGCTAATTAGCGAAGCTAACTTTTTCCTTATCGGATTAGCTGTTCAGCTAACTTTGAAAACCTTTAGCGGACCAATTAGCTTCCGCTAAATTTAGTTCCGCTAACTGGCAGTCCGCTAAAAATGTTTTAAAATCTCTGATTTAATGCTAATTATCGTAAGCCGTGTGCCACGCCCACACTGACGGCTGACTACGTCATCAAAATGTTCGTCAGCCAATCACGTCTTGTGTTACTGGCAGTAACACAAGACGTCCTATACTACAGTCCTCTGGTGGACGTAATGCTGGCAGGCATCACGAAAAGATTTGGGTCCCTCCTAGAAGACAAGGAGTGCCAGCTGGCAGCGGCCTTCCACCCTAAGTTTTGCCTGTTCTGGCTGGAAAAGCATGATCACAGCCATCTCAGCAGGGTACAGAAGGCCATGGAGACCGCCGTGGAGACAGCCCTGAGGGAGACCGTTGAGGAGGGCAGCAGCATCACCAGCAATGACGAGGATGGGGAAGATGACTTATTCAGCAGCATTACTCAGCCCATGGAGTCTAGGAGGAGCCACGGGTCACTGAAGTCCAAGGCACAGAATTTGGTGAAGACCTGGCTGGAAAGCAGCTCGAAGGAGGAATTGACTGATGTTGCCTTCTTGGGCGAGCAGGTGTTGATGAACCTTTTCGTTAAGTACAACACAGCCATCCCATCCAGTGCTGCAGTTGAGTGCCTTTTTTCCTTAGGCTAGGACATCTTGAGTGCCAAAAGAGCCACCCTGTCAGATGCCAACTTTGAGAGGCTGATGTTCATGAAGGGCAACAATCATCACCTCAAGGAGATGAAGGCGAAGGGCAAGCTAGAGTAAAAGGAGTGTGTAACCCTGGTGTAACCTTAATATTTCTTATTCGTTTAATAAACTGTATGTTGAATGTCAACTACTGCCTAATTTCATTTGTTCATTTAATTATTTATGTTACGTACATCTTGATCATCATCTGATCTTGGCATGCTACATCTTTTTGGAAAGCTCCTTTTCAAGGCTTAAAGTTCAGCTCTATATGCCTTTTTCAGAGTTTCCCCCCCCTCCAAATTAAGCCTAATCTAAATTTATATATTAAAAATTAGCATTTAGCGGCAAATTCCGCTACATTTTTTGATGATTTATCGGTTTAGCGTTATCGAAGCTAACTTTTCAGTTAGCGGATTAGCGGTTATCGAAGCTAACTTTTAGGTTAGCTGTGCCCACCACTGCAGCTACATTATTATCAACAAAATGCTTTGTATGCAGTCATTGTTAAGGACATTTTGCACAATAGTGGTACTGAACTGGGAAAGTTCAATATTTTTCGAAGTGATACTTTTGCATTTTGCTACCTATATTTTTGATCAAACCAAAATACTTGACTTTGAAGCCACAAGATTTCATAACTACCAAAATTTTGTGATAATATGGCTGTTATATTAAAAAAAATAAATAAAATTTTAGCAGTCCAGCTCCAAGCCCCTACAGAATTTTTGTAGCCTGATTTATAACAATTTTCAAGCCTTGAATCCTTTTCCAAGTTATGGAAAGCAATTTTCAAGCTACAAACTCAATTTCCAAACCATTGTCTGATTTTCTTTTTGTTAAAAGGAGTACAATGTGCACGAGAAGATTGGTGTTGGAGGCTTTGCATCCGTTTATCATGCTACCTGCAGTAGAACTGGATGGAATGTTGCCATCAAGCAGGTTGGTTCTACTTTGTGAATTTTTATGAATAAAAAATTTTGGGATTTTAAATACCGGTAGTCTGTAACTACAGCTTAGCAAATAAGTTCCAAATCAAGAATATAATCTCCTGCTTATTGATGAAATTGCTACTATCATGCAATTTATATCATGTTCAATAAAAATAATTGAATACCACAAAATTTGGTTTCTTCATTGTTATAATAATGATTTTTTCTTTATCTATCATCATAGTGTTTTAAACAGTTAACCCCATTATTTGCTTCATCTTTCAGATAAGCAAAGAGCAGATATTAGAACGTGGGCTCAATGAGAGAGTGAGACAAGAAGTGTCCATCCATCGTACTCTTGATCACCCATCCATATTGAAGCTCTACACTTTCTTCGAGGATGCCAGATTTGTATACCTTGTGCTGGAGCTCTGCACCGGTGGAGAGCTTCAAAAGGCCCTCAAGGGAAAGCCTCTTCCAGAGGAGCAATGTAAGATTATAATATGATACTTCAAGGCCACTATAAATTTGTGATTTATGTTCATACTCCTTTTGCCATCAGCCATACCGGTACTAATTAACAGAAACAATGCTAGAGGTAGATTTTACTTTTAAGAGTGTTTGAAAGATTTTTGTCCTAAATATTTGACTTGTCATTCCAATATTGTATACTAGGTACTTCTGTTAATTGGTCATATTTGAATTTTCCTCTCCATGTTAAAAAAATGAAAAAGTTCTATGCAAGGAATCTAGGAATGTAAGTCTAACATATTTTTGAGAAATTCCTATTTATTTTTTAATGTTTATTTTGAAGGTGTGCGTTACGTGCGTCAAGTGGTGGCAGGCATGCTGTACCTGCACAGTCTGTCTATCATGCACAGGGACTTGACGCTCTCTAATTTGTTGCTTGCTGCTGATGGATCTTTGCGCATTGCTGACTTTGGTCTGGCCACTCAACTCACTCGTCCTGATGATCGACACACCACCATGTGTGGCACTCCAAACTACATGAGGTACTAGGGTATTAATCAGCAAATGGAAAGATGTTCTCCTATTAGCAAGGGTTACTTTATTTTTGTTTAAGAATCTAAAAAAGGGTTACTGTTCTGGGGTGATTGAATTAAAAATTTAAACTTCAGTTCATTGAAATATTAGGTTCAAAAATATTCAATAGAATTGAACTTAACCTGCCTGGATTAATTATGTTACTTTACTTTCAATTCATGTTGAAGTATTTTCAAATTGATCACAGAACTCAAGAAAGAAATGAAAGATCAATTCAATGATTTATTCATAGAATTTGTGCACTAAGCTTACTCTGTAACTTTAATTAGATAATAATTCCTGTAGACCTTGTATTTCGATTTCTATGTGAAAAAGATTATATTTTCTAAAAATGTTTCACCACAGACACCAATTGTTTCATTTAGTTGGATTCGTTAAAGCTTAAAGGGCAAATAAATTGACTGGTTTAGTAGGTACCTATATATATTTTTTGCATTGTGACTTCTCCAATAAGTTCTGAAATCATATATTTATTTTCAGTCCCGAGGTTGCCACTCGGAGTTCTCATGGTCTTGAGTCAGACGTATGGAGTCTTGGTGTGATGGTCTACACTATGATGGTCGGACGACCGCCCTTCCATACTCATGCTGTCCGCGCTACAATCACCAGGGCCCTCTTGGAGCAATGCGATGTAATGGCTCTACGTTTTTGCAGTAGTATGGGCGTATTGCACAGATCAATTTTTCATTTATTCAACCTAGTTTCTCACGTAAAAATATTTTGTGACTTTGTTATGGTATTTACTTGCTTGTAGCTTGTGGTAGGTCTGTCAAAGTGTCAAACAACTATTTTGTAAATTATTTTTTCCTGCAGATACCCTCACATTTATCATCAGAATGCCGCGATCTCATCTCTCGTTGCCTTCAAAAAAATTTTCGCGAGAGGATAAAACTACGAGACATACTTCATCATCCTTTCTTGAGAAACTCTGAAACTGAGCCAACATCGGGCAGAATGTGTGGGAACAGCATAGCAACATCAGATAGTGGCCTGTATACCATGACAACCTCGGGTAATAATCTCACAAGTCGGCCTACCACGCTGCATGCCATTGCAGAGGATGAAGACAGCATGTGTAGCCCTGAAATATCAGCCAGGCATGGCAGCGCCTTTGATGCTCACAAAGATAATGGACATTTCCATAGGCCACAATGTAGCTCCAGAAGTGCTGATGATCGAATGATTTGCTCGAACGAACGAGAGAAGTTGCCTGGAATGTCCTGGGAAGGTGCTGCGCTCAGTGACCGGGATGTAAAGTTGACTTCTGCTGGCTATGGCGACCAATATGATAACCGATGTCTGAGTCAGCGGTCCTCAGAAAATGTGCCTGACGGTCGACGGGGGAACGATGCTGAAGGCGTTTATCGTCCTCATGATCCAGGTGGTCGAATACAGAATTTCCCTCACTCTCCCCCTGTCAAAATCAAGTCCCAGTGAGTAAATATTATTATTCAACTATACATACAGTTCCTATTCACTGATGGATTGTTTTTAATTGTTACTGTGTTTCATGTTAGGTAATTTTAAAATTGTAGATATATTTTTCGCTTCTATATATGTTCTTTAATGAAATAGGTGAGTCGCAGTACTTAAAACGTAAATAAACCTGAAAAATTTACTTTAAAATAATTTTTTATTGATTACAGCTCCCGACAAGAAAGCAACCCAAGCAATCTGGCTGTCATCCAGACTTTAAAACGGAAGTTTACTGGATTGCCTCCTATGCATCCTATTACTAAGCTAGGAGGTTATGGCCACCCTCACATGCCGCCTCCTTCTGCAAATTCGACTGATCACTTGAAAAGGCGACCTCTCCACTCCGCAGGATACTCTGAACGGCTGGAGTTGGCCGTTGATCCATCACATTATGAAAATGCTCAAGATCTTGGTGAAGCTTATGGCGAGGGCCGAAGACGTTCGAGGTCTCACGATCGCGCCTTTGACAGGAGAGTAGAAAAACCTCAAGGACGATCACTCGATAGGCTGGATTACAAACAGAAAGAACTTTTCCTTGATACTCCACGGGATGTTAATGCAGAAAATCAAAACAGGTTATGGCAGCCATCCTCATCGCTCACGAGTCGTCGATCAGATGACTCTCTAGAAAAAAATTCAGCCGTGACAAAGGAACATTCTTGTTGTCGCAGTGCACACCATAGGAATAACTGTCCAAAATTTCAAATCCTTAATTATGATGAGGAAATGAAGAACCCTGACCAGAAAGGGGCTGCTTCTGGGCCTCCTTACTCGTGTTGCAATGCTTCTACCCATCGTTCTGGTTGTGAACTTCGAAGGCAAGAAGTGAACCATCTTCAGTTTGTCCAAGACTACGTGAATCAGAACACTTTTGGGCATCCAAGTTCCAGTGATTTGCCTTCCAGTGACCGCCAGTCCAACAATTTATTGGATGACATCACACCTGTCAAATTCACGCCAAGATTAGATATGATTCCTTCCGTCCCAAGCAGAGGAGAGGCGATCGAAAAAGATTCCGTTGCATCTCAGCAAGTATCTTCACGAAAGAATTCGCATGCAGATCATGTCCATATAGATTCTTCACATCGAGAGCCGGCACCAGACTCAAACAGATATCGGGCTGCCAGCAAGCCAGAAAACGGCTCGTTGTCCCAGCAGTGTTCACCTTTAAGCACAAGGAGACTTAGGCCAACTCGACAGACAACCAAAAATGCTGTGCTTCATATCTTGGCCAGCGGTGAAGTATGCATTGAATTTGTGAAGCGCAAGAAAAGAGGAGAGCTTGTAATGGACGCTTGCAGAATTTCGCAAGATGGCATGAGAGTAAGTTTTCGTCTTGATTGGATTTTATTTCCAGTCCTTAATCCTTGAGATCAATGAGGTAAATTTATTCAGAAATCTTTCATATGCTTTAGAATTCAATGAATTTACATTGAATTGCATGCTACTTTCCATCTATATGTTTTCAAGACGACAAAGTCTGAAAAGCAGCTTGACGGGCATCTATTTCCAGGTTGTGTTGTACTCCATCAACGATGGAGCAGGAGGTCCTCCACAAGACGTTCCTTACGCCGTACCTCCAGGAGGTGCCGAAGCTTTCTTCAGCTTTGAAACTCTCCCTAAAACGTACTGGAAGAAATATATATATGCTTCCAGGTGTGTTATATGTATGGCTAGTTTAAGGACGGAATGTTTATATATATCTGAATTTATTACTGTTGATATTTACTAATAGAAAATTTACACTTTTTTTCGAAAGAGAGGAATCTAATGGTAATCTTCTATAACTTTATCGTTTAGGTTTAACCATGACAACAATAGCTTTTTACTATAAATAAATCCCTAATAATTTGAGAAATGATGAAAGAAAAATTAGTCAAAATAATTTAATATTTTCTTCAATACATTGTTGCTCCTACCCTCAGATTCGTCGATGTGGTTAAGACTAAAACTCCTAAAATCACTTACTACAGTCAACAAGCCAAGTGCATACTTATGGAGAATTCTCCTGACGCTGACTTTGAGGCAACGTTTTACGAGTCTGGTATGCTGATTGACCGGGGCTTGTCAATATTTGTTTGGATTACCATTGGTTTACACCTGAAACTGCGCGCTGTTTCACCTCTAGTAGTTTTTTCCATATCACTCTATGTCCTCTTCTTACAACACTTCTCTTTAACTTCACTTCTTGTTTGTCTGTCTGTCTGTTTGTCTGCTACAAATCTTGTAATCGAAATTTAATACACTTCTACTTATCCTATCGATCTGAAATTTTGCACACTTGTGTAAAGTTGGAGACAATGCATGAATCAAATGTCAAAATAAAAGATTTTAAAAATTAAAATTTTTTTTTTTTTCAATATTAAAAAAAATTGAAAAAATAATTTTGTCAGCTACAAATCTTACAACTGATATCTGACACACTTTTACCTGTCTGATTGATTTGAGATTTTGCACACTTGTGTGAAGTCAGAGGCAATGCATGAATCAATTAATAGAATAAATAATTTCGAAAAAATTATATATTAAAAAAATTGAAAAACTAATTTTTTAATTTGAAAATTAAATGAGAAATTCATTGTACATTCGTACGATTGGAGACACTGGATTCTTTGGAAGTGTTGTCTTTAAAAAGTAATTTTTAAACGCATATTATTTTTAGTTAACTCTTTCCTTACACCTAGGTTTATTTTTTCAATTTTGTGGGATTAAACTTCTGGTTATACTTTGAATCAAATTCGGGTTATACTTCCCTCCAAAATCTAAATTAACTATTTATTTGTTCTATTGTGATGATTCTAATTGTGATGTTCAGGATGAAGGTGTTGATCCTGTTTGTTTTGTTCAGGTACTAAGGTCCTGTTGAGCGGCGGTACAATAGCAGTGACTGAGGCCGACGGTACGAAGCACTCCACGTCACGCTCCAGCTCACCCCACCTGCCCACCTCTGTGCTCCATTTCCACAATCACGCTAAGACGGTGCGACGTTCGCACTCATAGCAAATATCTACTTGAAAAATTTATTCTTGTTTTAAAATTTTAAAAACTTTCATTTGATCAATAGTCAGTTCTTAAAACGCAAGATATATTATCATTGCCGTCCAAACGTTAAACATTGTGGATCGAAGACAGCATATGCTCTTCTTGAGTCACAGACTTGCAATTATGTTCCAATAGATGTGCTAACGCAAATTTCAAATGTATTAAGTTAATGAGACTCTTGCAATTATTTAAAACAAACTGGTTTACCAAATTCCATGGGGATTGGTCGTGTATGGTAACATCCCTTTCATGTTGATAGGTACTCAATAACGTGCTCGTTTCTTGTACAGATTCATGAACACTGTCTTTATCTGGAGCGAGTGCTAGCGGACGTTGAGCAGAAGACAGGCCACGATAGCTTTCCGCTCACCATTGGCCGGAAACCTGCAGCCTTTTCAGTTGAGTCAGCACAGGTTCCAGCCAAGTCTGATCGTCCTTTCTCCTCCCAAAACAAGAAAAGGAATGAAGGCGAAAAGGAAAACATATCGCCAGCGTCTGTGCAATCTGAAATGCCGAGGATTCATTCGGTCCTCAATCAGGTAACATCTGCTGCGTATTTAATTAGTTCTAATGTACCATTTATTGCTCTGCTGTTGGAAATTACTACCGTTGATTGCAAAATTCTTTCTAACCAAACTCTATTTACAGGGAGATAATTGGATATAAATCAAAGCTAAATTGCAATATCTCGATACAAGTTTATTTCAAGTCGTTTGATTGCTGTTTTTCTTGTAATCCTCCGGATCGTGACAGGTTGTTGGTTCGTACGAAGCGTCCATATCCAGTTCTGCATCAGCATCACGACCTGCACTTGTAGCACGTAATTTTGATTCATCTCAGAAGGAAAATTGGACAGAAAAACACAAGCAACAGCTTCCAGTAACACAACGCAATGACACCAAGAACGTCCTTCAAAATACATTCGTGCCTGGTGTCGGGTGGATGAGACAAAAAGATGATGGATGCGTAAGTGTTGAGTTTATGGACGGCAGTGAAGTAACAGTGGATTGTCGGGTTGGCGCTGCCGCAGCTGTCATCTACAAAAGCTGCAGTACTGATATTGCCGTCCCATACGGTGCCAATGCAACACTGCCCCGACATCTTAGGGATAAATTGTCTACTGTTAAGAACCTCATGGCGTCTCTGATGCAGACTAAATACTAGTTAATTGTTTTCTATTTTACAATCGGAATTTTTCTACTGTAGTATGCAGCATTACGAATGCTCTCGATTTAGGGAAATTTAGACCTTTCTGCCTAAACTGACTCGTGACCTATACCGACTTTCTCTTCGTCGTTTATTTTTTTTTCTATCTCATTGCAACTTAGTTAAAATTTACTTTTGTTTAAATATTTTCAATGAGGATTTCTGTTGGTTGGTCTCATTTAATGTCCGACTGTTATTATCAAAGGTTTTAACATTACGAGATGTGTTGAAGCTGAAAAGCTTCGACGTTAAATGATACCATTGGTTTTATGATTGATCGATTCACCTGTTTCTAATGGCAAGATTTTGAATGATATTTGTTTGATCGATCACTTTTTTATTAAATATAAGTTAATTAAATGTTCTCAAGGAATCTAACTTATTTTACAGGTATGTTTTCGACGTAGCTCAAGTTTATTTTTTTTAAATAGCGTCAGATATCGGCATTCCATTGAATAAGATAAAAAAATAAAGAAATGCCTACGATATCATTGTGTCGGCTACAAAGATGGTGTGCAGATTCGATATAAGGTGTGTGACGAGATATCAATTTTCTTGCGTACGGTATTTCAAACATTTCAAAAGCTAGCTGCTAGTCAGCATCATTTAGAGTTCCATTTGCTACCTCTGGATGTATTTCGTTACTGCCTTTGTTTCGAAATTCGAAAAATGACAATTTACTAATGTCTCTGTACATGCCGTTGCTTTATCATTTAATTTTTTCGTAATGTTATATGGTTAATATTATTATGCTTGTGTGTTAAAAGTTTTTACCTTAAAGTTTTTTCGTAATTTTTCTAATATAATATGTAGACATTATTTTAATCTTCCTTCTTTTATTTTCTTCGTAACAAACGTTGCCCTTTGCATCTCGTCATTAATCTTGCTTGAATTTCAAAACAGGCTTTAACTGCAAAATGTATTTTTGAACACGCCGTAGCCGGGTAAATATAGGTCTCATTGTTATTATTGGCACCATGGTATTAGTGCAATAAAATTCCTCATTTTGTGAATGTTATTCATTATGTCTTCTCACGATGTACAGCTTGTATCAAACATCTACTTCGTACGTAGAGATGCTATAGATTTAAGATATTTCACTTCATTAAATGATCTCAGAAACGTTATCATTTCTTTCATTGCGGCCCACTAATAAATCCGCAGCACAGGATACCGTACTCCTGTGACTGTCCTGTCGAGTGTTGTCCTTATTCCGAAAAATAAGTTGAATTGGCATTGTACATCAACTGCAAGATAAATTGTACGTCATATCTCTTAATTATAAAATTTAACCAACTATATTAAGAAAGAGTTGAAAATTTTAGCGCGCTATCAATGTCGATTATTGGTGACAGTATTAATTGGCTCTGGAATAATCCCATATCAAGAGAAGTTTTCCGATATCCCAAGGTTATTGGTGAATTGGTCTTCAGTCAACAGGTATACATTTTTTTTATTGTACTTGATAGGGTTATTCAATTTTTGGTGTACTAGTGAAAATCTACAATAAATGTTTATTTTATGATTGAATTAGCCTATTATTAGTAGGTAATTTATATATCATTAGATTCATTATACTAATACCTAAGAGGCTAAGACTAAACTTACCAGGCCCCAGGGGTGCAGGCATAGTGACAAACCAGAGATTTTTTAGAATCAGTTCATTTTTAATTGCCTTATTTACTCAAGATTTTAACCAATTTCTCAAGTATGATAATGCTGGTATGATTGGTATCCATGATACTTTACTGCTCTACTTATAGGACTCAAAAGTGAACTTGAGACAGAGTCTAAAAAACTCTCTGCTTTGCCACTATGGGTGCAGGATTGAAATTTTCCTACATGTTTCTGAAATCTTGCGGCCCGATCGTGCAATTTTTTTAACAATTAGATAGTAAGTAATTCATTTGGCAGAAATCTTGCTGTTCCAAAAATGGTGGGAAAGCTATTGTTGTGGCCCTAAATGTAGTTAGGTAGATGTTTTCCATACTTGACTGAGAGTGCAAGCACTTTGCCAAGATATGGATTTTTAGTCAAAAGCATTGCCAGCCATTTTCGAGCTGTGTCCCACCGTCCCACAGTCCCTGGGTAATTTTTAATGAGCAAATGCTGCAAACAACTTCTGTAGTAGGCATGGAATATATCCCATGGTCAGGAAGATGTGCCAGGTGCGCGGGAATTTATTTTGTCATTTTAACAACCTGCGCTGTGCACCGTACTATGCTGGTAAAAAAATGCGCTGTGCGCCGTACTTTAGAAAGCTAAAATAGTTTAAATATGGAGGCGCGGCAACGCAAATTACGCAATCGCACTGACCGTACACACAAACGCATAGTGGCAAATCAGAGATTTTTTAGAATCAGTTCATTTTTAATTTTCTCATCTACTCAATATCTTAATCAATTTCTTATATATGAAAATGCTGGTATTCAAGATACTTTCCTGGTCTACTTATAGGACTCAAAAATGAACTTGATGAAGAGTCTAAAAAAATTGTTGCTTTGCCACTATGCACAAACGTGTAGGTATTTGCATTGTGTTGTGGTTGGATATGAGTTAACTAGATTGCTACCATACCCAGGATGGTGCAGCGCGTACGCCGGAGGCTTCAACGCAGTGTGGCTGAATGTACGCCAATAAAACAATGAGTGTACGCCAATAAAACAAAAAAAATCAAGGTATTCCAGGTAAGTATGTGCGCGTACGCCAGGATGAATTATATGCTATGAAACTCCGGAATCGCTAAATTATACTATTTTCGTATGACAGGCAATGTCTACCAAATCTTTCTGTGCGGTGGTCCGGTGGAACGATTCTAACAAATATATATTAATTATTTCCTGATTGTATATATTTATGTTGTTTCTTTTTCTAATGCTCATGAACATTTTTTATAAATTTGAATTGCGTAAAGGCTTTGCTGCTCGATGAAATTATTTTATGTATGGATTTTTGTATTTTTCTGTACTACAGATTCAAGCATTTGCACAGCACAGCAGTAGCAGGAGGGGGATTTATTAGCAACTGAGATTCGTCTAAAAATAAAAAGAAGGAAATGAATGGAACACAGAAGAAATGTGCTGTTGCAAACAAGCTGATCATTCATGGACTAATGTTAAAGCAAAATGAAAGAGGTATCTTTTTATAGGAAAAAAACACTGGAAAGAAACAGAGTGCTTCCTCTCACTCGTCCACTTGCGATCCGGGCATTTCAGCTCGGCCAACAAATGGACACTGTGACGTTAGATTCCTACGACGGTCGACGACTTTGCTCACGTCGTATCGAGTAGCTCGAGCGTCAACAAAAAACGGGCCGCGATGGGGGCGAAGTCCATGCTTTCGATCACCTGCGTAGAACAACCTTGCCGCGCTATCCAGAAGTCGTTCCAGCGCTATGCTACCAACGGGAGGTAGCATCCATCGAAGTTTCGCCCGCCGCTGCAGAGTGTCGTTGTGCTGCCCTCCCTGTTGCTGCTGAGATCGCATCGTTGCGTAGAATGTTTCCACGATCGCCTCTGTTAGTTCGAATAGGTAAGTGCATTTCTTGCCAACTATTATTTAAGTAAAGTAACATCTTATCATCTAATAATATTACAAGTTTGCACCCGATAAGCGTATAAGGTAGTCAAGTTGAATAATGTAGCTAATTATATACTCTATAGATATAACAATGATTTCTTCTAACCTAAATATTCTCTAGCAGTTATCTTAGATTAGGAGCAATTATGGAGTGCAATGCGATATATTACACTTAATTACCAATGATGCTCGTTACCTTACCCGAGCCACTACGATGCAGACCGAAGTCCAAGAGCAGGCACGCAGATGGACTAGCCACACGGAAAATTTTTGGATCGCTGTAAAATGATTGATAAACAGCTTGCTCATTTAGAACAGTGGCAATACGGTCTCCTGATTGCGTTGTTACCATGAGATGCAGTCTAAAATCGCACCGAGACCTTGTTGCTTGCGTCACTTTAACGTCAGTAATAGGACCGCTGACAGCAGGTGTCAGCCAATTATCCCTGCCAACACCAGATAAGAAAGATTCGTGAAAAGCAGCAACGTAGGACGCAATGTACTTTCGAGCGAGCTTTACGTTCAAAGATGATCTAAGATTCTCGTGTCTCGCTGCCAGGTCAACGAGCCGAGTGGCTGCTGCTGAGTGAGTGTACTCTTCCACGAACTCTTCACGATTTTCTTCTCCGAGCAGGCGCACGATGGAAGGAGCGTCTAAAATAACACAATCAGCACCCGCTTCACCCATGCACTTGGCGATGCGCTGATTGAAGCTCCAATGAAGCGCACAGGCGAAACTCACCACATCCGCCTCCATATCCTTCTGTTCTCGCACACGCCAATCTACTGGGCCACCAGCCTTCTGGGACTCTACCAGCCATCCCTCTAGTAGAGGTACACCTTTGTACATACCACCTGGACGCACGTTATCGTAGCTCTCCTTCAAACATGGATAGTCATCGAGGCAAAATTCTTCAGCGCGCTGCGACAAGAAATCGGAGACCTTGGGCCAAAGCACTGCAATCTTCCAGTGAGGAAGTTTTAAGTCTTGAACTATTTCCATAAGCCGCCGAATCGGCTCCATGAGATCCAACAGGCAGCACAGGTCGAAAACGAAGTCACTACCAAATAGCTGGTATTGAAGCTCCTCGTTATCCACACAATTTGGGTTCTCTGCACGGAATGCGTTGTGTAGCTCCAGGTAGCTGGATGCGATTGCGTCCCATTGCTTGATCGCCGAGCTGGCAAACCGTTGCACTGCAAATACCGAAATTGCGCAAGCTCCTGTTTCAGAGGCAGCCTCGAGAGCAGCGTGTCCGCGTCCGCGTCCAAACAGGTGAGCGAAAAGGTTGGCGCGCTTAATAAACCGGCGCAAATAGAGGCCATGTACCTCGTCATCACGCACGTCGGTAATTACCAAGTTAAGAAAATGCGCCGCGTCCCAACTTATTGGTAGTAATTCAGCATCATCGTCGGCAATGCTGAGCTTCTCACGTAGATTTTTACTAAACATTTTAATTTGGTATTGCCCGTCTGCAACAACGCCAACCAAGTTTTCAAGATAATTTTTACACATTTTCCTTTATTCTGTCATTTTCCTGTCACTTTTACTGTATGAGATCCAAATATTTATCAGAACCAGTATTTGCATTTCATTTTCCTTTTCTAAATTTAGTCATCATATTAGTTTAGTTCATTCATTGTTACCAACTAGTCAGATAAAGTAGGCAATGAGTTCGTCTCACCTGCGTTGAGACACTGGTAACAATGAAACTTGGTACACATTTTCATTAGGACATAACAAGGAACAATGATGTTTAGCTTGTGAAAAATTTTTTTAATTTGCGTTTATTGGTGAGTTATATGGTGATACTGATATGGGCCAATATTTGCAGTGATCAAGGAATTTCTTCCTAACTACCCACTGAACAAATATTGAATGAAATTTTGAATACGCATAAATTGTCACTCAGCAGAAACTGCTTGTACCTTGCTGCTGTCAGCTGACATGCCTGGCCTGGAATATATCTACTAGTGAATGAGCTGCAACTAGGGCTTTTCTGCTATTTTCAGGGTTGCTAGATAAATTTTCTCTTGACTAATTTTTACTAAAACTGCACAATTGGGCCATGAGATTCAAAATAAATTGAAAATCAGTCACTTTGGAGTTGTGAGATTTCATTAATAAGTAGAAAAATTCCAATTTAGCTTGTCAGTTGTCATTAATTGAAGTACAATTTGTAAGGATTGATTGCCACATAATAACTAGAAAATTGTTTCAAATTATTACACTAATGGCTAAAAAGATATGGTTCAGTTGTTTATAAAATGGATCCTTTCAATTGATTTTATTGAAGGTTGGTAACTTTCATGTAATTCATGTACTGTCAGTACCAATAACCTGTCCACCAAAATTAAGTTGCCGGCCTTCTCTGAAATGATCTAATTTGAAAACAAAACTGAACCACATTTTCAGCCACTCAAAACGACTTCTGAGACATCATGTGATAATCAAACCGTACAAATCATAGTTCTGAGTAGTATTATTCTTACCCCTATTTGTTATTGACAGTTGTGGGAATCTTGCCTACAATTCATAGTTGTGACCAGTATTTTATATATTTCTATGGCCTGAAGCCAGTTAATGCAGTAGGTATCAGATGAGTGGCAACTCAAATGTCATTGATGGTAGCTCCACTAACTTGGATCATTGTTCTTAATTCATTTCATTTTTTATTGCCATTTACTAATTAAGTGGCACTGGTGATAAAGAACAGAATAATTTAGAAGTGAAATTGAGTGATAAATAATATTCAAATAAAATTTTGCTCTGTATTATTAGAATCACCAGGGAATTGACCATTTAGGCTCAACTTTCTCGGCTGTCAATTACCATGAACAGAAATGGTGTCAAATTGTTGCAGATATTATATTGTCTAAAATGATTAATGAGGAACTCATTGTGCTTACATGAATGTAAGATTTGTTTGTTATAATTAAAAAAATTCTTAACAATATAAAAATGTTAATCGTGGAAAACATTACAATTTTATAGTTTTGATGAGTGAATTTTATATATGTATTATTTTCATTATGTATCATCATGCAAGAAGCAGAACAAAAGCTGAATACTGATTATGCTTGAATGCATTTCAAATCAACTAATACCAACTATGAAACTTCTTGCTCAGGCTCCTCCCATAACAAAAATAGTGGAGAGGTTGCCAGCAGACATGATAGTCATCCCTTCTTGGACTCGTATTTTTGTTCGGATGGCTGGCATCTCAGGAGCCTGCGCTGTTGCTATGGGGGCCTACGGAGCACATGGTATGACAGTTCACTCAACTTTCAAATGATTTCTCTTAATCTCAGGTATTTAAAAATTTACTCTGGTATTTAAAAATTTAACTTTCTTCTATTGAAATATTGCCATCCTAAAAAGCTTTATGTATCAAAAGCAGAAAGTGATGGATTTTTCATGACCAGTGGGTTCACTGTGAATTTGATCAGCTTCACCTAACATGGAAGAGTAGCACTAATTATATATAAGTTCTTCTTCCTTTACTCTAGTTAGTTTTTGTACACATGTCATATTTCTATCATTTGCTGGTTTTCTACAAATTCCATTTAGTGTGGTTATTAAGTGCTCTGAAGAACTGAAACAAGGTGTTTCAAAACAATGAAAGATTAATGAGAAATTCTATACTGCAACCCAGACCAACTCACATAGAATGGGCAAGTCTTTAAACTTATACACACATAATTTTATGATTAATACAAGTAATGGGAGTTATAATCCCAAACATTAAAGTGGCTCTTAACCTTTCTCCTCACTGTTGTTGTGTTACTTGTTCCCTGTTAAAAAGCCCATTTACTGCATGAAAGCTGTCAAGTAATGGTTTATAGTGCCACTGTTGTTGGGAGGGTGTTACATCATGACGGCTTAGGTGGACCGACATGTAATATCTGGGTACATGTTGAAGTGTTTTTGGCGGAGCTGTGTGTTTGTTTTTTGCAAAGAATGATGACTGCAATGTAGCCTAGTGAGATGTATTCTATAATTTATTTAATCTTTCACACGTTGTGAGTCATGTTGTCCAGGATCTGCCAAAATATTGATGTTCTTCACTGTGATGTCAATAGAACCAGGATTTTAGAATATAATAGATCTGTTAGCTCAAGATTCATCAATGTTAGTACATTAAAGCCAAGCCCATGGCTAACAATTGTTCACCTCAGTCAAAGAATAAAGTATATTCTGAAATGCATCTGGACTAAATTTCTACCTCAGGTTATTGATTCCATCATAGTGATTACTTTGATCATAAAATGTGAATCAAATTTCCGTACAATATATTCCCATCTGCCACTTTTACACAAGCATTAAATTTTGGTTACAGTTTTTTATCAGCGAGGCACAGCAGAAGAGCTTAAGCAGGTTTATGAGACCGCCAACAGATATCATTTCCTGCACACTTTAGCTCTGCTTGGAGTGCCACTCTGCAAGAGACCAAAACTAGTGAGTTTAGTATAGTTTGTGACTTTGATAGAAGAATTATAAAAATATTGTTTGAGTGGTTTGGTATATGTGCGTCATTATGCTTGCTTCAGAAATCATATCATGAGCCTGAATGCTGTGATTTACTGAACCTTTATAAATAATAAGAAATATTTTAAAGTGAATTCATATAGATATCAAGATTTGAAAATGTACTAAAATATCATTTGACTTGAATACTATGTAAATTGATGCGGTGTTAGTTTGTCACAAACCCTAACCTTGAAAAGCCTTAATTTAACATAACAAATTACTAGCGATATTTGTCTGTTGCAGATTGTAAGACGATGCTTATCATTTAGATGAATCTAAATAGCTCTATGTGTTGCAGGCTGGGTCGCTCCTCGGTCTCGGTATGCTGGTGTTCTGCGGCACTTGTTATTACTACGCGCTGACGGGATCACGCACAGTGCGCCAGTACACTCCATACGGCGGCGTCATGCTCATCGCTGGCTGGGTTGCTTTGGTCTTGTAATATCTTGCTGCTTGGGTTGCCTCGGTCTTTTCTATTATCGTTTCGTGCTTAGGCTGTGTTGCAAAACAACATTAAAGCAGGAACTTTAGGTGCATTTGCATAATCTACCCAAGCATCTAGAGCTCCAAGGAAAATTTATTTCCGTTTAAGTTTATATCAATGCAAATAGTTTTTTGTTTAATGCAGATACCTAGTTTTTTGTTTGAAAGATTCATTTCGTAAATGAATTACTTGGTTAATTTTGAATTTAAAAAAATATCTCCAGATGCATTCTAGCAAATTGGATGGTTGAAGACTATTGCGAGTAATATTATTATATTCATTCTCCATTTTTAAGTAAAAGTTGTTACTTTATTGAAGTAAAAATTAATATTGTCACTTCTATTTATATTTATCTACAAAATTTCTTTATTGAAATTAATTGTGACTGCACTGAATTAATGGTGCAGCACAGTTACATGTCAGCGATAGCAAATGATCGAATTAAGAGTAGAGGTTAAATTCCTGGGCATAAATAAAAAATTCTCCTCGGTTTGTAAAACATATAATTGCTTTGTATATTGGATATAATTTGTGCTTAAAACTTCTTTAATTTTCTGCGAGTTTAAAGTACGAGTATGTGATTAATAGGTTCTTATCCGACTGCTGATGATAATATGAATACAAATACGTAAATCTTTATTGCAAAAATTCTTGTTGCTATCCCTGTTTTTGCGACGAGATCAGCATGCACATCTTAACCCTCTTGACATAAGATTGAAATAATTTGAAACTAACATCGTACATCGAGGTTGTCACTATAAAATTCTTGCCTCAAGTAAGAATCAAAATGATTTTTTCTTCAGCTTAGTTGGCTCTATTACAAGGAATGTGTCGAGTATAGATACTAGCATTACACCGCCACCGCAGTTTGCAATGGCCCGTTGACGTTTTTCTCTCCATCTGCGGTCGTGGCAGAGGTCGAGTATACCACAGTGTGGTCCCAGAATTCCTGGGCAGCCTCGAGGATCTCTGCTCCGACTTGCGATTGTGGTCCACACGACAGGAAGGTGGGGGTCAGCTCTCTGGAGAAACGATGACTTCAGGATTATCTTAAAAACATATAATAACATCTTATGAGGTTATCCAGTTGTTAGCTTGTTAAATTCGACTATTATCTCTCTTATAGGTATTTCATAGTGTAGGTACACGTTCTCATCCCAATCTGAAGCATAGGCGAAATTTCCTATCCCTATAGATTTGATTACGATGATTTTTCAAGTAAAATGTTTAATTCGACTTGAAAAGTGAACCAATAAAAGCTACACCTGTCCCTATGTGAAATATTTAAGATTTGCCGTAAAATTTTCGATAGCGATACAGCTTTACCTTTAGTGCAACTCATGTGAGCGGAGAACCTACCTGTAAGTGATGCAAACGCGTCGCTGCGGCACGTCGTCGCGCATCACCCTGTGCTCGTAGTCGTAGCGAGCGCTGCCGTAGAGCACGAGCAGTGAACGACGCGGCATTGGCACTCGCACCACTCGCACCCCAGTCGGCTTCACTGCTCTGTTACCTTCAGAACTAATTTCTTGTGATGAAATAGCGACTTCACTAGCTCGAGAACAGGCATCTTGAGAACGTGATGCATGTGCTGATGATAGCGTAGTGCTATGATCTCTCGGTGCAGGTGAGCCAGCAGCAGATTGTGAGCAATCCAAACCTTTTGCGTCCAGACTGACGGCTCGACCAAGTTCTTCCTCAGCTGAATTCCCTCCATTGTAATATTCTCGTAACTGATCCATTGTTTTGACTAGTCCCTGTGGACTCACAACCGAAGGGTAAGTTTTCACATCAGGGAGGTTATAGCGTGAGTCACGACCTTCATATAGCGTCAGAGTCAAAACAGAGTCGCTCATGAGACTCAAGGTAGGGATTCGCTCGCCCCATATCCAGCAGTCATCAATGTGGGGATCAATGGACGCTCCCCTGCTGGGTGTGTAGTCCAGGGAACACTGTTCAACTGTCAGGAAATCTCTCAATATATCAACATCTCGGAAACGATCTTGCAGAAACTTGGTGAATAGTGGGTAGCCGTTGAAACCATCCAGCTTCACTTTCCGTTTCTTGAAATTACATTTTGGACCATAGTTCTGAAAACAAAGAGAAATCATTGCCCTACTGGAATAATAAGTACCTAACAATATTGGAGCGCAAGTAATAGCTTAAGTCATCCTAACGTGAGATGCTTCAAGCTGGCTCATAATTTTTGTCAATACTCCACTCGACAATAGGCTGGATCTTAAGTAAGCTAATGGTAAACCTGCTTGAGCCTCCCACTCTGTGAAGTATCCCAAGGCACTTGGTCAAGCTTCTCAAGGAGCTCTGCTTCCTCGTCCTCGGTCACGAAGTCCAGCACCAGCTTCACGCCCTCTATCCTGTCCTCAGTAAAACAACTTTCTCCATTTGCGTGTCAACCATGCAAATAATTGTAGCACGTATATTATTTATATTTCTTTCTCAAAATGAACAGGAAACGTGTTTAGAAATGTAGAAATAACTCACTGGACAGGTTGACCCTTATGTTGCGGATGAGACTGCCAGTCGCTCACTCCCCATCCCGGCCACGCCAACTCGCAGTGAGGACAGAAGACCACGCTCGTCTCCTGGCCGACAGAAATTATTAAGTAAATGTGCTTTTTGTACGCCTGGTTTACTTCTTGGCCAAATTTTTATAGCTTCTAATTTGTCTTCTGTAGCTTCTGATTTGGCATACTCGTCTGTCAAGACGTCGTCTATAACCTATGAGCAGTCAACAAGGGTCCAGAAGTAACTCAAGTCTTAAGGCCTTGCTAATGTTGCAAAAACTGGCGTATATTTCGAATGTCGAAACCTCGCTCACCTTCATGTGGTCTGAAATGCCACCCGAAACGCTGAAGGCCCCGAACTGCGCTTCGCATGCTAGGCAAGAACGTTGCCCTTTGCAGCCGCAGGGCCGGTTGTGAAACATGTCTGTTGCGTCTTCACTTCGCTGATTAGACGATTTTTTTTTCTGAAAGCTATTAGCACTTTGAACTTGAAATACATCCAGTACATATCCCTCACAAGATATATCTCGCTTATCGAGAAATTCATGATGAAAGGTCAAATCAGAGTTTTTTACTAAGAAGCAAAATTGAAACGCTTTCCTCAGTACCGTATATATTATTTTCAGTGAAGAACAATATTTTACTTGACGACAGTGAAGGTTATCTTGACGATTCAAATTAGTCAGAAAACGAATTCATCCGCCCACTGAATATATATATATATATATTACAAGGCCGACTACAGGATTCTCGCGAAATAAGCTTAAGTGTAGTGTCACACGGTTTTGTACTTAAGATTAAATTACTTCATTATTAACCTTGAGTTCATTACTTAATAGAGGAAACTAAAATGGTCGGATTTATAGTCATCGCTGAAGGTTATTGCCGTTCAGCTTGAAAGGATGTGCTCGATTGTTTCTATTTTATATTCCATAAAACTTTACATTTTCCTAGCTCTTTCAGGTTGATTTGGACTGAGGAGCCTGGGGGGTTGTCCACGGCCCCCAACAAGAAAACTCTTGTTTTCTGCAGGTGAGATAGTTCCGCTATCATCTCCACGTGCCCTTACAATATTCCTCGTGTGTCGTTGCAACATTCCACATGTACTTGTTTTGGCTCACAACCTAGACAGGTGAAAAATGAAAACAATACTTTGAATCTTTTAATACGCAACATTCATAGAGTTCTCTGTACTGAACAAACGATCATTAATGTTGACATAGCGAGTGATATTCACACATGGCACCATGCAAGAAGCAGGTGCGCAACGCAATATCATGAGTTTATCCTAACGTGCCGCTCAACAAGTAAACCCTCTTCTTTGCTTACACGCAAAGAAACAAAATTCTAAATAAATATTCAAATCGCCCAGTTATTAATCTGATCAACACAACGAAGCCCTCACGCAGTTCAAAATACAAAAACAATACGAATTAAAACCTTACAACCTGTCCCATACGCGTGGGGAGAGGATTAATTTCATGTATAGCGATGTGGGAGCTTGTTGGACTAAAAAGTCAATATATTCACATAAAACTGAAAATAATCACTCAAGTGCAAACGTCTAAAATGACGGCATGAGTTTAAACTAGGCTGGTGACAAATCCAAACGGAAGAGATTGCTTCACTCATGAGCAGTGGAGTTGCATGCATATTATTACACTAGAATATACTAGACTAACTAGAGGTTTGGTAGAGTAACTCAGGATAAAAAGATTTAGAACAAAATCTACGGCGACAAACTTTAGGCATCGATGGATTCAACTGCAAGTCGATCATAGAAAAGACTAACAACAAAGAACTAAACTGGGACTGGAATGAAGAAACGCTACCAAGGTAAAACAAGAATCCAACTCACTATTTAATCCCACCTCCAATACCCTTATTCAGGTACTATGAACTAGAACTCGCTCTGAAACTAGAATAACAACGTCGTATGGCGTTAGGCACATACAGTATCAAACATTATTCTCGCCAATACGTTTTACGCTCCAATCACCGCTCCTATTTACAGGATATCACAATTCGATAATAATGTTAAATAATGGGCATCATTATTTACACTATTATTGCAGTCCTACTGAAAAAAAATAAATAATTTCAAACATGGTTATGGAAAAAAAAGATCAAAGAAGGAATTCAATTTTCAAAGCCGCAGAAAACAAGACTCTTAACACCCAGAGACGAAAAAGGGCACCCAATAAAATAATCCTCTGGTTCGATGAATTTTGACAACAAGCACAAGTATAGAGGAACACTCAACTCCTACAAAAGACGCGAGTTATTTAACTGATTACATATAGGAAAAATCATCATCATTGAAATGACTCCTCATGAATAACTGGTCAGTAACTGGAATGTCTAGTCTCAACTGTTTAGCATTAATTTCAATCATAGTCGTAAGTACGTTTGCACACAGAGTGAAAATTGTCATCGTACATCAACTCGATCACGAGTTCCGAAAAATTATGTGTAACAAAAGAGGGTCGATCATATTGCGCACTGCCAATAAAAATCCGCCAGGATGTTAGTTAAAATAAGAAAATTTTCGCTCCGACTTCCAGAATATAATGGAGACGGAAAAATATCAATATATGATACTTGAATTAGCAATCCGTCACACTCAAATACTTAGGCTAACGAATAAAAGAACGTACACAAATGAAACAACTGATTACATTTGCACCTGGCGACTTCTGACGACGTTACTACATCCACTTCTGACACACAAAATAAACTCCATTTTCTAATTGGTTCATGACAAAAAATATGCCCAACATAACCGCTAGAAGCATTAAACTTTGAATGAACATATAATGATCTATATTAAGAAGCTTTTACGAACAAACGACATTGGCTAATGATCCACGTTGAAGCAGCTCAACCTTAAATTAACCTGAGTAGCACATACGGTGATTTGTGGTTAATTTAAAGAATACATCATTCATAAGTGCACAGATGCCACACCGTCCTCAACGTAAATAGTAATAGACTTCAAATGTACGGATTAAAAGATTCCTTTCATTCAGATGGCCACAAGTTCCATGACCAGAGTATCACCCCAGGCTTAAGGGAACGAATGAAATCCAGTTCCAGAGCAGGACAAAATTTCTAGACACATCACCACTCGCCTTCCCCAGTGGCTTTCAAGAAAACATAATCTTTGCCTTTCAAGTTCATGATGCCGTCCTTGAGGTTGAACTTCCATTTGTTGCGCACACGGGTCACCTGCGGCACGCACATGCAAGTTATTTAGCTAGATATTTTACAGGGATAGATAGTGAAAAAATACGGTAGTGATGCTACGATAATGTTATCTCATATTCAACTCTTGCTTTTTATATCACTTGTGATCGCCAATCTTCACAATGCGATACAGCGTGAGAATTGGATAAGTGCAATGACATTGCATTTTACAGTGACACTGACTGCCAGCTATCAAACCGAGTTTATCCAAAGAAAATTACTGAACTGTTTTTTCTCACGTCATTACTCAAGCGGACAAGTATACTCGAATTGAAAATAAATGTTTGTCGTAATATTTAAAACCAGACACATTCAAGAGTTTGCTATCAAAGCAAACCTCAATATTACCTTATCGAAGAGACACACAACGACGTTGTCAGTTTCGAATGCCTCGCCGCCTTCATCATCACTCAAATCATCCGCCGAATTCAACGGATCCTGCACGTGGTATAAAATATTGAAAGAAAAATATAATATTAGCACACTTTTCAACCCTCTAATTTGCACAGTCAGATGTTAAAGTTGAAGTTTTCAGAAAACATCCTGCAACAGTGAGACTAAACGAACCAATATATCACACTGAGAACAAACATCTTTACTTCAAATATGCTATATATACGTCACAAGTTACCCAATTAGGTTACTAAACTCGTACTAAACCTGTGCTAATGCCGTAATTCTTCTAAACCACCAGGCATCTAATTTAAATAACATTGATCAAATGTAGTTTTAACGAAATTACCCCATAATCAACGTTTTTCCACGAAATCATCTCATAATCAACTCGAAATCGACGTTGATTCAAATAAATCAACTCTCAACTAACGTTGTTTGCCAGAAATGAATGCTTATTTTTTATTATTATTCAAAATTTCCTTATTAATTGCTCACCTCATTGACATCGCCAGCATCGTCTTCCTCCTCTTCATCATCCATGCCGTACTTCTTATCCTTCTCATCCTCCTCTTCTTTGTCATCGTCATCGTCGTCATCATCGCCCGACATCTCATCAGAACTGTCGTCACACCCGCCGTCCGTCTGTTAACATGTTTTTAGTTTATTCTTATCTATCTTGAACAGTTTATTCAACTCGCATTTTCGTTAATCACTTAGAGCAAGAGTGTCCTGATATCTCCCAAGTAAAGAGGGGGTCAATGGGATCATCCAAGAGCTTCATTAATGGACATGGACACCGAGATATCCTTTATGATTTAGCTTAAATATTTTCAACCATATGCATGCAAAATTTTTCAACCATAAGCATGGCGACAATGATTGACCATGAGCTCATGAAAATGTCAAATGTTGGAACAGTAACTGAAAATTAACTTATTTCCTTATATATTCATGTAAGGTTAAAACCACATCTAAACGTCAACGCACAAATAACATCAACCAACACTTCATAACATCCTAACTCAGCTCTCATCCGTACACATCTCAAATCACCCCTTCACCGACAAATAACAAAATTTTTGCTTCTTCACGGAAAATTAAAGTTTTCTAGATCTTATTCAGAGTATTTAATCACAATTCTAACACGAATGGAAACAGGAAAAACGAAGATAGAGTGGATACAGAATTAGACAGAATCATTTTGAGAATACATAATTGGTGTAAATATGTCCATGAAGACAGAACTGCACGATACGGGAATAAAAAAAAGTTCCTATTCTCCCGAAGACTGGAAATGAGGAACAGGACTTCAATAAATGATAGAGTATAATTAAGAAGGCTATTGCAAACCTGATTCAGAGTAAGCCTTTCCATGAGCAGTCGGTCCAACGTAGCTCTGTCCGCTGATACTTTAATTGCTGTGTCGTCACGTGTGCAAGACTGAATGGTGGTGGTGGCGACAGCGGCAGCAGCAGCAGCAGGCATGACTGCAAGTGTGTTTCCATCCTGCAAAATTAAACTTTCGAAGTAAAGTACTAATCTTGATGCCTCGTAAATTAATTTTGATAACACAAGTATGCGCGAAACTATTCATCACCCAAGTTGTTCGAGTATTGCAGGCAAAAAAAAAAAACATTCAAAACTCCTGATCAAGTAACGAACAAAATTCCTGGTTTAGATGAATGGCCTGGTGTTTGTCTCGTCATTTATTAGTATTTCGTCGCAAGAACAAGAATTCACCTCACCTCAGACTCGAGCAAGGACGCATCTCCAGCAACCAATGAGTGAGCTCCATTGGCCTTCTTGCTCGATATCCTGCTCACCTTACGACTTTTGGGACGAGTACCTACAGGAGAAGTTTTTATTTAATGATACTGCTTCAAGGATCACTCCCGTTATGAATAGTATCAATATAGTATTCAATATACTTAACTACGTACATTTGATCAAATTCAAAAACTAGTTTCTACAAAATAAATAAGATTCAAGTTTTATCACTGCTTTGTATGATACGCCCAAGAAACGAAAATGAAATGTTACAAGTGAAAAGAGTAATTACAATTTTTTAATATTTCGATTCACTGAACTTAATTGAACATTCGATTCATTTTTTTTATCAATGCAGACATGCAGACAAAAAAATATAACTCAGTACTCACTGCAGTGAGTGACAGAGAGCGCATTTTCTCGTCGACGGAAAATTGAGGTCATGGACGGACGGACGGACGGACGGACGGACAGACAGACAGGGCGAGCACAATAGTGCATTTTGTCCATAAATGAGAAAATGCGCAAAAACACTGCCATCACGACACAAATCTAACCACATCTTGAATAAAGTAGGTAATATTGAACATGTATAATGCGTAGGTAGGTGTTAAGAATGCTAAGAATGCGGGTCGAAGCGATAGAGCAAGTATGTAAGACGCGGTTGTTTCGAGATCGTGGGAACGAGTTAGTTTACATTGAACGTTGGCGAGCTCAGCGCGAGGGATATTCCAGTCGAGGAATGTGGCGTCACTTCCGAGGGTATATGCTTAACTGTGCGCGACACTAGCGTATACATATAAGGACCTTAAAATTCGAGCCAAAGTCTGTTCTACGGAGGTGACCGTCACGCAAGCACGGTCTGCAGTCAGCGGACTTTGTAACGGCCGCGGTCATGAGGCCGACGGTGTTGCCGTTTTCGAACATTGAGGGTCGCAAGAAAAAACTGGACTTATCGAGGCAGCCAAGAGTCCGGTGAGCACGTCAAGAAAATCAACATCAACACTACGGCTGCGACTCAGCTGTGAGACAATGCGAGAGGGGGCCACGAGTTGTGCAACGATTATAACGCCCATCATTAGAAGATACAAGTTTTCGAGCTCTACACCAAGACTTATCGGTACAGTCACAACTGTCGCAAGAAGAAACGGTACGGTTACAGTCATCAACCAAAGCACGGTCGTCATAAACTCTACGGTTAGACCGGCCACTATATCACTATAGCGCGATATCTCTATAGCGCGATATCACTATAGCGCGATATCACTATATAGATATCACTATAGCGCGAGAAATACGGCCATGAAGAAAGAGCAACTGTGAAAGTGGACACAAGAATACAGCAGCGGTACGGCCGCTGAACATACGGCCGCGCAAGTTACGGTCGTTTACAACAGTCATACGGCTCAACGGAACTGCAACGTTCTGGTAAAATTACATGATTTTAATGATGTAAACTGATAGGTTTTTGGACTTTTGATTGTGTTCAGATTACCTTTGTCAAGTACTAGAGATTTTTGTTAACGTAGGATGTGAACTTGAATTTCTTAATTTATTATGAAATGTATCATTGTTTCATTACAACCCTCTATTTGTACTATTTTTGCCATAAAATTTTCAAAAAATAACCTTATCGTATGTGCATATCAAGCGCCACTCAGCGTCAACCTGATAAAACGATAATTTGTTAATATCTGAACCTGAACGTAACGTAAATTTGGAAGAGTAATCACTCCGAGTGTCCAACTTTAAAATATATGACGTGATAGAAACTACTTATGATTTTTTTATTCTAACCAATCTCGTGATTACAAGCACGCTCTAAATACTCTAAAATTGGAGTATAGCCAAAACAAATTCATTAACTCACCTGAAGGCAAGTCCACGGCGCCATCCACCTGTGGCTGGGAGCCAAACTGCAGGAGCTGTGGAGGAAGCGTCACGCCACATTGCTGCAGGGCGGCATTCAGCTGACGCTGGATCACTTCAGCTGCTTGTGTCGCCTGAAACGAGGAATCATTCACTCAAAAACTTTACCATTGAGTTGTTAAATGTATTATCGCATATTGAGGTTAGATGCATTACATATGGGAGTCAATTGATACCTTATTGAAAGTAAAAACTTCTCCCAACAAAAACCTTTTATGATAGCTAACAAGAGAACCCCTAATGTGAACAATTCATTGCCATGTTTCATCCCATATAGAACAAAATATCTAACATTGACAGGCTAGAAAAAAAATTCAAGTATCAACTTTACCAGCAGGTTAATCAGTCTCGTTGTCTTTACCAAACCCTCAAATCAAGTTGCAATTATAAAATTATCTTCCTTAAAATTACAAGTAACATGTGCACAAGCATGAGTTACGTATAAAAATGCCTGTTCAAACCATCATTGAACTCACGTTTCAAGATTTAAATATTTCAGTTTTTCACTGATGAAAATAAAATTTGCTAGCATAGAATTTTGAAAACTGTCAGATTTTAAATCCAGTCTCGTTTTCTATGCTGTATTATAGAACTACCAGAATTAAGATTTCAGGCACAGGTAATATCCTGACATGACAAAGTGACAGGCAGTGGAAAACTTATCTGATAAATTAAATCTGTTGTTGACGTCACAGAAGTTATCTCAATGTTCCCGATGTCTACTTTCAAATTAACTGCCAAACGGTAGTATCTCCTTAGACATGTTTACTTGAAACCACCAATTTTGCCATCCAGAGGCTAACAAGCAGCCTTGTGATTTTCAGCCCAAACAGCCAGTAGAGCAGCAGTAACAACAGTAAAATAACGCTGAACTGAGTGAGGTTAGCTCTAACGTCTAAGTTCATAGAGGTGCGGTGCCTATGTGCAATTAGTATATTAACCCTACAGCCTCAATGATAAAAGCACTAATATGATTGCATAATTTAGTAAACACCTCCATGGCGAAGGTCTGGGCGGCCGATGGGGCTGAAAGGATGGATTGCAGTTGATTGCCAGCAACACCGTTGGCAAGGGCTGATGATGGCACGTGAATGGTGATTGTCTTAGGTGTGCCACCAGCTTGCTGGGCAGGCACTGTGATCTGCACTGGCACTAGGTTCACCTGCAACACACAGAATCAAGAATGAAGATGAGAATAATTTGTGGTACAGCAAAAGGTTAACTGCAGCTCATGCACTATGAAACATTATTATTGTTGTTGATAAGAATATCCAGAAGAAATTGAAGTTAAATAAAAATATTGTCATTTTTTGTACATATTTTTCACACTGACAAAACATTTCTTGCTAGCATGCTAGGTACTATCCAACTCACAGGAGTTGACACAACAGGAGCTGTTTGAGGAGGAGGATCTGCAAAAAAAAAAATTGTCTAAAACTCAATGAAAAAAGATTATCAAAATCAATAAACTGTCACAAAAAAAATTTCCAAGCCAACATATTTCACCCGAAAATGAAATATCTACAAATGGGATGTTTTAAGTTCACACAAAGTAAAAATATTGAAAGTGCATTCAATTCACTACAAAAATATTCTTGGAATTGTGACAATATTATGAATATTCTTAATATTGAAATAATATGAATATTCATAATATTTAAATAATATTATGAATACCGGTATTATTATAAGTACTTTAAAAATAACTTTAACCTATATTAATGGATAACTATATAGTTATATAGTTATCCATATTATACTGCTTAAATCACAAGTTTGCTGGGAACTTAAAAGCAAAGAAAGCAGCAAGAAAATCCACCTTATCTCCAATAAAAACATTTTGGAGGCCAGTTCCTTCACCTGTTCAAATTTTATTACAAATGAACTCAATCAAAATTTCAGACATTAAATATAGCATTATTTTAGGTGTGTACATAGCATGATAGCATGATCACTCACTTGTTCCAGTAAGCCCACTTGCTACCTGCTGGTGAGCTGTTTGCTGCAGCTGTTGCTGAGCTAAATTGGGCGGCTGGTTGGTGCCAGCCAGAGCTTCACTGTGATCTGTTGCTCGGGTAGCGGCTAGCTTTTGTTCCCATGACTGCTTCACCTCCAGCAGAACTTGTTCATCAATGCCTTCATCCAGGAATGCATCACGCACATTTGCCATCACCTCTTCTATGACGCTTTTGTACAGTCGAGGCTGTGAAAAAGGATGTCTTGTATGAATTACATCTGTGAAAATTCACATTCATTGACCTAATAATATACATTTAAAAATTACTTTTTAAAGACAACACTTCCAAAGAATCCAGTGTCTCCAATATTACAGATGTACAATGAATTTCTCATTTAATTTTCGAATATTAAACAAATTAAATTTTTATTTTTTTAATATATATACATTTTTTAATATATAAATTTTTTTTCAAAATTATTTATTCTATTAATTGATTCATGCATTGCCTCTGACTTCACACGAGTGTGCAAAAATTCAGATCAATTAGACGGGTAAAAGTATGTTAAATATCAGTTATAAGATTTGTACCGTAGTAGCTGACAAAATTTTTTCAATTTTTAAAATCATTTATTTTAACATTTGATTCATGTATTGTCTCCAACTTTACGCAAGTGTGCAAAATTTCAGATTGATAGGATAAGTAGAAGTGTGTTAAATTTTGATTACAAGACTTGTAGCAGACAAACAAACAAACAAACAACAAGAAGTGAAGTTAAAGAGAAGTGTTGTAAAAATACATGCAATTCCAAAACTAGATGTATTTAATGGGTCAAAAAAAAAAATAGAAAGTAGAGGGTAATTATAAAATTTTTAACCATGATCCAATTTAAATTTAGCAAAAAATGTCTGCTTTTTGAACTTTAAGAGTAAATTTCAGCAAGGCACTTCAAAAACTTAATTTGGCTTCAGAAAAAGTCAGTCTGTACCAGTACCATCAACTGGGGTGACTTTGGCCACTGCTACAACAGAAACAAATGGCAGCAAAACAAAATAATAAACATTGGCCAAAGTGAATGGGGTGACTTTGGCCACCAGGGTGACTTTAACCAACATTTATTATTTCATTTTGCTGCAATTTGTTTCTGTTGCTGTGGTGGCTGAAGTCACCCTTCATTGCCAAAAACACCCCAGTTGATGGTGGTTGAAGATAGTTCATTACTAACAAGGCATATAGACTTTAAACAAACCTTGAGTGACACAAATTTAAATTTTAGAAATTTGAAATTTTTGGAGTTCAATCAAGCCCACCAAAGCTCAAAAAATAACAGATCCTTATTGACACTGACATCTTGGTTGCCCTAAAGATTAAACACTTCAAGCTTTTCTCAGTCACATGAGTGTTAAAACGATTAGATACAAGATTCTCTTTAGTGTGCAAAATTTCACAAATTTAAACATGGTATGAACTGCTCCAATTTGAGCTGGATTCATATTGGATTTTTTCATGTCTGATTGTATTGATGATAAATAGCAGGCATAAATCAAGCAACAATTTACCTCAGCTGGAAACAACAGTACTGTAAAATGGGGTAACTTAGACCACTTTTTTTATAAATGATGCCATTTTTTTACTAGCAAAATTAAACTAACATTGAAACATGCAAAATACAGGTCTATACTCTAGCTTCACTCACCATAAATTGCTGGCTCCTGCCTCTCATAGTCTTTATGTAATTTCATTATTTCAAAAAAAGTGATGGTCTTTGTTACCCCAGCTCTTTGGGTATCTTAGACTGGGTGGTAAAACCAATTATATTTTTTGGTAAAATAACTCCAAATAACTCCAGGTTTTGGTGCATTGTAGTAGAACTCTTCTAGTTACAAATGCAAATGACAAACTTGAGGAAAGTGTCATAGTTTGCAAATGGGGGGCACCGCCCCATAATGGGGTAATGTGGCTACCTAATGGCAGCCCTGACGGGGTAAATATTGACTGGCTTGGAAATTAAGTTAAAATTACCATATATAAGACTCTGTAGTCTGAAACATAGAGAAAAAACATAAATAGGCTGTCAAACATAAAATATGTTATATATGGTAATTTTATATTAACTTCCAAGCCGGTCTATGTTACCCCGTCAGGGTTGACATTAGGTGGTCTAAGTTCCCCCATTTGGAGGCCGCGCCCCTCATTTGCAAACTATGACCCTTTCCTAAAATTTGTCATTTGCATGTGTAACTAAAAGAGTTCTACTACAATGCATCAAAACCTGAAGTTATTTAACCAAAAAATAAAAAAATTGGAGAGGGGTACTCTGACAGGCTTTAAATAATAGCTTTTTTTTGGGGGGTCACATTTTTAATTTTTTAACCTATTAGATATGCAAACTTTTTAAATCTTTCTATTGTGTTATGTAGCCTCAGTATTAGGCCTTTAATGCCCATTGACAAAATCTTCTATGTCAAATAGTTTTTGAGTTTTGGGGGTTTTTGTTAAAAAAACAAAAAGTGGTCTAAGTTACCCTGCCGGTCTAAGTTACCCCATTTTACGGTACTATACATGTTATCTGGTGCTTAACTGATTCTGAATTGAATAAATATACATACCTATATACCTATGATTGTTTCCAATTTATGATATAATGACTGAATGAGCCATTTTGACATGGCAGAAATAGCTTGTAAATTGAGTTCACCATTCAAAATAATTTTTATGATTGCCAGAAATAAATCCAAAGTTAAAAAAATATTAAATATTCATATATTAATCCAACTCATTAATAATAATAATAAACTTGCAGCTTGAAAATTTTGTTTAGTCACTCAAATTTAAAATTAGATAGTACTTGCCTATCAAGAAAATAACACTTATCAAAATTTTGTGTCTCTAAAACTCATTTTAGCCTAAACTGCTAAAGTCACACTGTCACACATTTTGTCTGAAGTTGAAACCTTGCATTTTGCAGCATAATCATGCAGTTCAAGTAAAAATTGAGGAGATAATTGATCTAAAAGCAGATATGGTTATAGAAAAATATATTTTATTAACAAAAAATTTCAGAAAATCTTTTTTTAGCCATTCAGAATGTGAGTATTTTCCACACCTCTTTTCAATCCCTGTATGGGTAAAAGGTCTGACCATCTGAATCAGGTCCAGTTCACAAACATTAAGAAAATTGTGTAATATTTTTTTAATAGACCATGTCCAATTCACCGAATTGCCAATTGTCCGTAGACCGTAGCAACAAAATGCAGGTCTTTCTGAAAATCCCTGATAAGTGCTTATTAAATTCTAAAAAAGTGAGGTACCTAGAAATATATTGGCGTCTAATGCACAATTGTCGAAAGATCAACATTCTACTGACAACAATACTCAAGTTAAACATGGTGAAAACTGAAAACGGCCGTTACGTCATCAAACCAATATGGCGGTTCCGCTTTTGTGACAAAACTGAACCTAATTGTTCATTAAACGGGACCAGAAAATTATTTAACATTCAAAAAATGCTCTTACCACACACGTAGCACATTGGGCCATATTGGCAGTTTGAATAACACAGACGTATATAACACTGTGGGCTCCCTAAGAAGCAGTGACCTCTCTCGATGCTGGCCTATATATAGAGTGAGTGAAGTCTGCGGTGCACCGAGTATGTAAAGGTCGAATTTTCAGTAGTCAAAGCCGAAGATGTATGAACAAATAAATTTTTGTTCAGTTAAATGAGGAGTTTCACAAGAATTACATTCGTTTTATTTTGAAATTATTAACAAAAATTTTTGAGTATCAAAATCAGACACTTTTGTCATAAGAAAGTTGTCGTTTAAGCTTTGCATATATTATTCTATTGTGAATTAATGAGTCTAAGAAATGATGTTACCAAACAATGTTTTTGTGTTATTGTAATAGAGAAAAATTGAAATAATCGATATCATCCAACTGCTTTATGCCTGAAATTCGTTTAGCCCAAATGTATAAATTCAGGAACGGATCCTTTCATGTGCCAAAATTTTACGACATTGAAGCCATTGCCATACATTTTTTTTGCTGTGAGACAATTTCTGAATTATCTTCTCTTGTGTAACAATTGAAATGTGTCAAACACATTGACAAGTGTAGTATTGACAGAATTTTGAGATATCATTGACATGAGAAATTTTGCAGATCTACAAGTATCATGTAAACTCAACCGTTGATAGAATAGAATAGAATAGAAGTGTCGGCGTTGAAGAAATAGGCCCATGGCCTGTTGCCGATTCTTGAACTTTTCGTGACTTGATTCACAAGGGATCCGGCCTTTGGAACCC